AAATGTGAAGTTCATTTTTGGGCTGTAAAGTTGTCTAAATCACCCTACTTAATGCTTGGCTACTTTTCTAAGTGGATGAACATCTTGTGGACTGAGAAACATTTAGTGTAGGATTTACTTTGAAATGCATTTTTCAAAAGTATTTTCTTTTAAAACATACTCCAATAATCTTTTTTACAACTTTGAAAAATCATATTTTACAGTGTAACTGTGAAGTTTGAGCCATGTAAATAGTCTCGTTCTAGTGTGATTCTATGCTTCTAATCTCAAAACACATTGAATCTTTAAGCATCATGTCTACACCTGCAACAGTGAATATTTCAGTGCTTATTGTGGCCACATACTTTTTAAGTGTCTTACTGTAAAACTGTGGGATGAGGCAACATTATTTTCTGTGGTAATCAGCATTTCGCCACAAATGCAGGGAATAGCTCAAGAGTTCACAGCGAGCCCAGGGACCACAAACACATCCACAGTGACTTTCACAGACAGGGTGATGTTTAAAAAAAATGTAGTTGCCTTAAAAATGAAAATTCTGTTATCATTTACTCACCCTCAAATTGTTCCAAACGTGAGTATGAATTTGTTTATTCTGTTGGAATACAAAAGAAGATATTATGAAGAATGCTGGGAACCAAACAAGTGATGGTAGCCACTGACTGCCATAGTTTTTTGTTCCATACTATGGAAGTCAATGGCTCTCATCAACTTTTTTGGCAGAATTTTCATTTTTTCATCTCTTTAATGTAAAGATGCAATGTTTATGTGCATGAATACACATGTGCTGTCTTCCTCTTTGCTTGCCTGTAAATGTGGCGATTGGGAGAGAGGAAGTTGAGTATTATGTCAGAACACATCCTCGGTTCCTCTGTTGTCAACAGCTCCAGACAGGTGGTGCTCTCCCCCCGACAGCAGCCATCCGAGGCTCCTAACCCTCTTACTGCCCTGGAAGGAGCTCCAAACAACCTCCAGATGTTTCTTGAGCACTTCCTTTAAGCCTTTTAAGAAAAACAGGAAATTGATTAACTAACCAGCTCAATTCTCATGCCAATGTTCAGTAGTCGTCAGATTACTTCCCAGGATCACCCATAATCCCAAATCACTCCCTGGGAATTGTCTAGTTTAAAATCCATTCATGTAACATATCCAATTATAAATGATTTTAATACATTATTTTTATGATGTCCAGACCCAATTTTCCAATTCAGCTTACTAAAAAAAAAACAAGAGGATACAAAACATATGATGTGCTTCATATAAAACTTCAAAATGTCTCGGTTATGTTAAATCTATTCATGCACATCTGCTAAAAATTACAACTTTTTGAACATATACAAGACTGTTCAAAAGTTTGGGGTCAGTACATAAAGAAATTAATACTTTGATTTAGCAAGGATGCATTAAATTGATCAAAAGTTAAGGTAAAGATATGCATAATGTTACAAAATATTTCTATTTCAAATAAATAATCAAACAAAAAATCTATCACCGTTTTATCAACAGCTTTTTTCTACATTGATAATAAGAAGACATGTTTCTTGAGCACCAAATAAGCATATTAGAATGATTTCACTGAAGAAAATATATTCAAATAGAAAAGTTATTTTAAATTGTAATAATATTTCACAATTTTACTGTTGTTACTGTATTTCTGATCAAAGACTTTCTTCTTCGACCCCAAACTTTTGAACAGTAGCGTAAACTAACTCAAAGATAAAATAGATATTAATTAGAAGCTACAAAACTCCAGTATTATTACCAAGGGTCTTGAAGTAACTACATATTTAGTAACTAAGTTTTTAGGAACTATGAGTGGTGCAAATGCAATCTCATTGGTTGTGGTTTGTCGATGTGGCACAAACACTGTGGGACGAACTACACACCAGTTAGACATATGTTTAAATCCTAACCCTGAGTAGGTGCAATAATAATAGTGATGCATGCCTTGACATCCTGATGAGTTCAGAAAGCCTTTTCCACGGCTGTTGTGGGAAACAGATGTGTTAAAATGAGGTTGGTGTTCTGGTGTTGACCACATCAAAGACCCTGACCAGATGGTCTTTCCTGTCCTCCACACCACGTAAGGTCTCAAGATAACAGAAGCCTCAGAGGAAAAAAAGGATATCCCTCAGAGAGCTGAGGTTTAACCGGATCATTCTGCTCCACACCGGTTGATGAATATTAACCATGTTGAATTGAAGAGGAACAATTAGGATTTCCTCCCAAGCTTCAGTCAGGATTTCCTTCCGTTTTTGAAACTTCCCACCACTAATGAACGTGCAAAGGAAGTTGCAATTACAGTTAAAACAGTTTGGTTTATGTCGTTGCTCTGTCAGGAGTGCCAACTTTTCAAAGCAGTATTTTTTAGTTTTTTTAAAAGCATCTTAAAAATTCATGCCTAACAAAGAGAGACAGTGTTTTTATTGAAGCTTCAACACTCCTGGTTACATCCATAACACTTCAGCAGACAACGAGCTCAGACTCAGCAGGACGTGTCTTTTCATCTCTCCTGAGGAAAACTGCCCCAGTCAGACACCTCTCTCTCCTCCCTTCCTGTATCTGCTCCTGCACGTGTGAGAGCGTTTGCCTGGGCAGAAGCCATAAAACCATTGGAAGTGCTGCTACGATGACCGCTTGAAAGACACAGATTCTTAATCTCAAGTCCTAATGGACTCTGGAGCTTGTCACCTGTGAACGACACTTCTGTTGGGAAAATATTGTGGCTGAATTCAAATTTGACATATTGTATTTCAAGTTGACTGCTTTGAAAAACGACAGCAAAGATGACTTTATAAGGGTACTACAAGATCCTTCCACCTGTTTTGGGGCCCTTATTGCCCAGTTGGGGGTTATTTTTGAGGGTTTAATGACTGTCTGACTCAACTTTATCCCACTATATATATATATATATATATATACAGGTGCATCTCAATAAATTAGAATGTTGTGGAAAAGTTCATTTATTTCAGTAATTCAACTCAAATTGTGAAACTCGTATATTAAATAAATTCAATGCACACAGACTGAAGTAGTTTAAGTCTTTGGTTATTTTAATTGTGATGATTTTGGCTCACATTTAACAAAAACCCACCAATTCACTATCTCAATAAATTAGAATACATCATAAGACCAAAACAAAAATATTTTTTTAGTGAATTGTTGGCCTTCTGGAAAGTATGTTCATTTACTGTACATGTACTCAATACTTGGTAGGGGCTCCTTTTGCTTTAATTACTGCCTCAATTCGGCGTGGCATGGAGGTGATCAGTTTGTGGCACTGCTGAGGTGGTATGGAAGCCCAGGTTTCTTTGACAGTGGCCTTCAGCTCATCTGCATTTTTTGGTCTCTTGTTTCTCATTTTCCTCTTGACAATACCCAATAGATTCTCTATGGGGTTCAGGTCTGGTGAGTTTGCTGGCCAGTCAAGCACACCAACACCATGGTCATTTAACCAACTTTTGGTGCTTTTGGCAGTGTGGGCAGGTGCCAAATCCTGCTGGAAAATGAAATCAGCATCTTCAAAAAGCTGGTCAGCAGAAGGAAGCATGAAGTGCTTTTTTTACAATAAAAAATTTCAAAATACTTCTTTCTACTTCAAAATTTCATGTTTAATTCAATGTGGTACTTGCTGTTTCCTAGTAATTACTTGTGAAATTTACTAGCAATTTCTGATTCAAAATAGTTTCAAACTAAATTCTACTACACCACGTGTTTTTCTTCTTCTTCAGTGAAAATAGAAAATCAGCTGCTTGGAGAAATGGTCAATTAATAAAATTGGCAGCAGAATGCTGTAATTGGCCAATCAGATTTAAGCATTCATCAGAGCTATGTCAGCAACGTAATCATCTTCTCTCTTGACATATACAAATTATACACCTACAACAATATACCAGCAAAACATGTGTTAAGTAAGCTGTGACCGGCTGGTACTATGATCCACAGGTGTAAGGAATGGGGTTGGATGGTACAGACATGAAACCATTACTTTTGTTCCTTTCAATGGATCATTAACACTCAATAACTTGTTGCTTGTCTCTACTGAATAAACAGGAGAAAGCAAATCTCAATTCATATGCATTCTAGACAAGCTGTTGTGAGTTTCAAATGCCAGTGAGGTGACTGGCCAATGCCAGGAATCGTATCATTCTAGATCATCTGCCAAGACTGAGAAACCAGGCTATTCGAAGATCATAAGCAACAATAACCGATAAGCCTCAGAATCACCCACACATTATATACATTAATGCTGATTATACTGATACCACCAGACAAACTGGAAAGGGATGCCAAAGTGACAAGATCATAAAATGATGTGCAATTTACTGGAATAGAGCGTGGTGCTATTCAACATGAACCACAATGCATGTGACAAGCATAAGGCTATAACAAAACCAATAAAACACATGTTAAGATGTTAAGAACCACAAATATTTAGGCATAGAGCATTTTACTGTTACTGTTCAAAATTAATGCTTTTATTCAGCAAGGATGCATTAAATTGATCAAAAGTGATAGTAATTTATCAAAAGATTTCTATATCAAACAAATGCTATCCCTTTGAACTTTATATTTAAAAAAAATCCTGCAAACATTTGGTTTACACCAAAATATTAAAAAGCACAACATTGATAATAATATGAAATGTTTCTTGAGCAAATCAGCATATTAGAATGATTTCTGAAGGATCATGCGTCACTGAAGACTGGAGTAATGATTTTAAATTGTAATAATATTTCACAAATGTACAGTTTTTACTGTATTTATTCTGCATTTATTTGTTCAAATAATGCAACCTTAGGGCGCATAAGAGACATATTTCTAAAATAAATAAATAAAAGTAAGAAAGAAAAAGAAAATCTTACAGAACCCAAACTTTTGGGTTAAAATGACATTATTTGCAAAGACGTAATGGAGTTTAGAGGGTTAAAAAGGTTGGTTGAAGGTTAAAAAAATGGCAACAACAAAACTTCATCTCTGCTAAAGTTCAAATCAAACTTATGCTATCCTCACAAGCTCTCAGAGCAAACAGTCTCACTGATGCTGGCCTTTCATTTGTTTGCCATTTCAGTTTGATGTGAGTTTGAGTTATCCACCCACTCCTTCAGACACCGCTGAGCATCATTACTCTGTTTACTCGAAGGGAAAAAAGGAGCATATTCTATTTATCACCTTCAAGGAATAAGTGAACCAAAACAGTTCGACCTACAAGCTCATTGCTCAAACGTTAGGGAATATCCAATTAAATTTATACCTAGTGTTCCGTGTTTAGTGCTTGTTGTAGAGGAAAACATAATCTCCTCTGGGTCCCGGGATTCTCTCTAGAATTGTTTTTCAGCATCTCACAGGAGGAGTGCAGCATGATTGGGCATCTTCTTTACCAAAATTGGGGCGTGTTGGTACATGCCTTGATTTTAGGCTCTCAGTCTCCATTTAGGATCCCACTTCTGTCATTACCTCATCTACTAAAAACAGAGCCACTGATCAAAGAGTGAAAGAGGAAATACAACACAACTTTGCATATTCATGGGGAGAATATATAAGGGTGGAAATGGCTGCTGCTTATCCTGCTAACAATCATCCTGTGACATGACTTTTCTTTAATTGAGTAAATTAAATATATTATGTCCCTGTAGATTTTTGATGACAGTTGGATGTGTTATGCTTGAAAAACAAATGATATTGTGCTAAGGTGAACTTGTTAATGAAGCCACCTCCTCTTCAATATGTAATTTAAAGTGACAGTTCACTGTAGTTAGACTTCACACAGTTCTTTTCCATATAAAGAGTTAGTTTAGTGACCACAGCAACATATTGATTTGAACAATATGAGGCTAAAAAAATCCTTAAAACACAAATTCAAAAATCAGGAAACGGAGGTATGATAGCAACTCAGAGACCAGCAATCGTAAGTTTATTGCATGTGTTTTTATCCACCTCTATCTGTTCATCTTTACTCTTTGCTTGTCATTTTGCACTAAAGTGTGTGTTTGAAAACAGATTGCTAAGTTTGTATTTGACTTTTTCATTATGTCCCATAAATTCCTGAGGAGATAACATTCTCTGGATACTTTGCTCTGGCCATAAAATCCCAAAAGACATTGCCATTAGCAGAGTGTTGACATGAGGCATGCGACAGTAATTACTAGATTTTTATATGATCTGAATAAGATGGTGCTTGCCTGTGCAAAACCCGCCGGCACAATATTAGGGTGCAGTGGCTGTTAACATATTGCAGGGTTATTTCTAGGCAGTTAGTAAGGCGTTCTGGATAGTTGCTAGGTGGTGCATGTTTTACTGTCTTCCACGTCTAATCACTTATAAAGTTAACCGTTTAACACAAGCTACAATTTGAGGTTTCATTAATGTCTTGCACAAACAGTGTGAGATGAATTGCATGCCTGTCACAGCACATCACACACGTGGATACAAGCACTCAAGCACTGATGGATGAATAACAAAAATGATTTGATTGATAAGGCATGTTTGCGATATAATGAATCAATCAGTGCAAGTCTATGAGTAACTCTCTATAAAGGGATGTTTCTTGTGTCCTGTGACATGAAAAATGTGTACAGCTGACAGAACAAAATTGCCATGATTGTCTGACGTGTCTCTGATGTGTTTTGTAAAGACACAGAATGAGCAGACAGGTCTGTGACCAGGGCCGCATTAACCATTGGGCTAGGCGGGGCTGAAGCTCTGGGGCCCAAGCAAGGACGGGGCCCGTGATTTGCTGTGAAGTAGATTGACGGACATCGGTAGCATAGTAATAGTAACAAAACAGGGAGTATAATTACAAAAGCAAGCGAGGGACTAATGACTAATTAATAGAATACAGGTGAACTGAATAACTGATTAAACACAGAGGGAAAGCTAGGTCAAATGACAAGAGACATAACTAACGCAAACCAGATAAATGTGACAATCACAGTTTTAAAAATTCATATTTTTATGATGGATTTTCATATTTTAAGCTCGAAAAAATAAAAACATCTACACATAAAGGTGCTTGAAACGCAGCAAAAATAAAGAGATATGATTTAAAAAATATTACAATCATAATTATTTTATAATGCTAAAATATATCTTACAAAATATTTTAAAATCAGCCCCTAGGGCATAAAAATTGCTATATTCACACAACCCCCTCAAACTGCCATGCCCATGCATGAATTTCTCATTTAGCTTTCATGCTGATCTGGCACATTCTTGCATTACAAATATAAGCATGTACAGTCAAAATATTGACAGCATTTTTAAATGTGGGAGAAAGTGGTTCTTTCTGTGAAAGTCATTATGGCTAGTGTATAAACAGGCCAGAAAGAGACTGACAGGTAACCTCAGCTCATCCTCTGCTATTGCAATCCCATCCACGTGGCCTAATGGTTAGAGAGTCGGACGTGTAACCTAAAGGTTGCGGGTTCAAGTCTCAGGTCCGGCAGGAATTGTCAGTGGGGGGAGTGAATAACCAGCGCTCTCTTCCACCCTTCAATACCACGACTGAGGTGAGACCCTTGAGCTAGGCACCAAACCCCCAACTCTTCCACCCTTCAATACCACGACTGAGGTGAGACCCTTGAGCTAGGCACCGAACCCCCAACTCTTCCACCCTTCAATAACATGACTGAGGTGAGACCCTTGAGCTAGGCATCGAACCCCCAACTGCTCCCAGTGCGCTGCAGAAATATGGCTGCCCACTGCTTAGGGTGTGTGTTCACTGCTGTGTGTGTGCACTTGCATGGGTTAAATGCAGAGCACAAATTCCGAGTATGGGTCACCATACTTGGCCCCACTTCACTTCACTAAATATTTAAGACACCTTGGAAAAATGGAGACATCCTCATTACAGAAACAAAACTGGGTTTTGTTAATCCAGAAATCGGTTTTCATGAACAGCTTTGTAAATCCGATGTAAAGCGCAGTAGTTCACAAAGTCGTTCACAGAGCATTTATACATTTCTACTGAACAAAGAACTTTGTTTTTCTCAAATTCTAGGCCCTGCATTTACATGTTACAGTCAATCTAAACATGGTTCTGCGCTTCAACTCTCACCTTTGTAAGAGGTGACGCTTTTATTCAAAAGGTGTTTGGTATCACAGCTTGTCCCCACAGCAGGAACCCCTGTCCAAACAGTCAGAGGGCAAATCCCCTCACTTCCTGCACCATAAGGCACATTCTCCACGGCAACCCACAATGGAAGCTTTAGAGGAGCACATTTACAGAGTGCTTAAGGCTAGTACAGTCTAGTCTAAAAGTACTAAAGAATGCTTAGAATGCCTAGAATTAGGACCAAAATTGTCATTTTAATCATGGTGCAGATTTAGGACACATGTTGCTATATTTCCACATTGCATGCATGAATATCTTCAGTCTTACGTGTTTTAACAAGTCAAACTTTAATATATTTCTGAAGCAACACTGCATAAGATATATATATATATATATATATACACACATACACTACCGTTCAAACGTTTGGGATCAGTAAGACTTGTAATGAGACAAAGTCTCTTATGCTCATCGAGGCTACATTTATTTGATCAAAAATACAGAAAAAAAACTTAATCTTGCAAAATGTTATTACAATATAAAATAATGGTTTTAATAGATTTTAATATCCTTTAAAATATCATTTATTTCTGTGATGCAAAGCTGAATTTCCATCAGCCATTACTCCAGTATAAAGTGTCACATGATCATTAAGAAATCTTTCTAATATGCTGATTTATTATTAGAATTATCAATGTTGGCAACAGTTGTGCTGCCAATTATTTTTTTATTTTTTTTCGAAACTGCAATACTTTTTTCAGGATTCTTTGATGAATAAAAAGTTAAAAAGAACAGCCTTTATTCAAAATATAAATCTTTTCTAACAATATAAATCTGATCACTTCTTATTAATTTAACACATCCTTGCTGAATAAAAGTTTGAATTTCTTTCAAAAAAAGAAAGAATACAAATTTCCTGACCCCAAACTTTTGAACGGTAGTGCATATTGTTAGAAAATGTGTTAGAGTTGTGATTAATTAATAATAACTAATGCCTGAGTTATAATGACTTATGAGAGCTTGGTGAAATAATGCATGCAAAATTATTTTCATTGTAGAACAGTTACTACAATGAAAATAATTTTGCATGCATTATTTCACCAAGCTCTCATTAGTCATTATAACTCAGGCATTAGTCATTTTTAATTAGGCATTTGGTCACTATGCTACAGTTTATTTATATCAGACTATGCACAATCCATGCTTATTTTAATCTGTCCTACGCATATAAATACATGCTCTGAGACAACAAAAACCTAAGGTGAGATACCCTGTAGCCCAACATGTCAGGAGCATTTAACTACCATACACACACACACCAACCTTAATGAGATCAGTTTAAAAAGCAGCATGAGGTCAGTGTTGTAGAAAACACTCATTCAATTGCATGAACACCTCTCACATGGCTATAAACTGGGTGCTAACTGGCTGCTAACGTTTTCTTCCAATGAATATATGTAAACAAAAACACTCATTTGAATGTGAGGAGGGAGTCTGGTTTATGCTGGTTAGTGTTGGCCTGGTGCTAGTCAATGCTGGTCTGTTTAGCAGGGAACTATCAATCCCAAGATCCTGAGAGGCAAGGATTATTGAGCTCAAGCTTGAGAAATAGAGACATGACTCCATCTGACTGAAGGAAATCTATGACTGTAAGCTGTCCTAGTCACGGAATATAGAGGATTAATAATGTTTGGGTTACTATAACCTTCTCTTGTGTCATATCGTGCGCCTCTTATTTTACGTTTGACCCTTGGCCCAGTCTCACTAAATTAAAGATGCCATAATTTAAAGCAGTAATAAAAGTCCACTTACAGACATGAGATCAAATCAATTCAAGAATCAATAGCAGCTCATGCAGCTAAATCTGCTTCTTATTCTTTTGTACAACCATTTCCTGTTACGAGATGTGCTGCATAGTCAGTCCTGCTTTATGGAAGTGACAATGTGACTGCTGGTGTAAATGTGCTTCTGTGCTTGAGTTTAATTTGGGTTAGCAGCTGTTTGCATGTGGTCAACTTTTGCATCCCGAATAATCAATAGCACTCAACTGACATAATCAGCACTTTAGCCAAAGGTTGCTCATAAAGACACTTAAAAAGGTTCCAATTCTATTCAATCTATTCAAATTACAAAGTGTGCCTTCTAATATTTTATAATATATGTTACATATTTTATAATATATGTAACCATGTTACACTGGTTAATTAAATTAACCGAATTAAATCCTGCAATCATCCAGTGAACACAATCTACCTCTCTTCATTATCTACATACTATATTTTGTATTCATTTCTTTATATTAAACTCTATTTATTGCCTTATTTACAGTAATTTTTAAATGTTATTGCACAATATATTAGTATGGAAGCCTGTTTCAACACTGCATTATGGGGAAAAAAAGTGAAATGTAAAAAAAAAAAAAGTTTATAAACTATAAAAACAGTTATATGAACAAAAAAAACATTCAAATGTTTGAGGTAAGGAAGAATTTCTTAATGTTTTTGAAAAAAAATCTCTTGTAAAAACAGTAATATTGTAAACTATTATTATAATTTAAAATAACTTTTCTATTTTAATATATTTTAAAATGTAATTTATTCTTGTGATGGTTCAGCTGCAGCCATAACTCAAAAGCATTTATTTAAAATAGAAATATTTTGTTACATCATCAGTGTCCTTGCTGAATAAAAGTATTCACACACACACACACACACACACACACAAATCCAGACCTCAAATTATACAATGTTAGTGCAAATACAAATACATTAATAAATAAATGCATTGCATTTTCTGTCAAATACATTGCTTTGCAACAATATAGATTAGTATACAACATGACAGTTGAAAGATATTAATGACCTTTTTAAGTGGAAGCAGAACCAAGTCAAGACTGTAAAATAACAACATAACATTTTTGCTGATCTAAACTTTTGTTGCTGTTTTTAAGTGCAAATTTTCCCACAGAATTACCATTCAAAGACATAACTAGACTTTTACATCACAGTCTGAAGGATCTCTCCTGCAGTGCCACATTATCATCTGCTCCTTAAACACACAACCACATACCAATGCAGTTTTATCAGACGGCCCCACACTGAGGTGCAAAGGACAAAACAAGGCAGATCTTCACCCCCCTCAGAGAGAAAACAACTCAACGGACAAACCAGAACCACGCATTAGGGAATCTGGAAATAATCAGCTCTGAAAGTGGTTTGAGTGAGTCACAAAACGTTTTGGACCCTGTTTACAAGTGTATTTAAAAGTGAAGTGGGCCATTCCTGCACCACTAGTGGCACCAAACAAGTTAACAAATAAACTCAACAAGTAGTGTCACTCCAAACACGCAATAGGTTTATTATTATCTAAAAAATAAAAAATAAATAGATTACAGTTCCATTTTGTGCCACTAGTCGCATAGATATTGCACACTTTATATTTAATAGTAAACAGGGCCTGTACGTGTCACCATGTAACTTCCACATTTCTGGACTCTTATCTCAGTCCTCTGAACAAATCAACAAGTCAACAAGCAGGAACAGGACATAAAGTCATCAGTCAAAGCAGAATATGTTAAAAAACACAACAGAGAAAACATATGTGAGATTAAGATCCATTCAGGGAGACGATAGGATTCCTCATCCGCTCGTAGAGTCAACTGCCACAGATTATAGTTATGAGTATGACTGAATAGAGGAGTTTGGGAAATGGGTTATGCTCTGTGAGTTTTGACTTGGACGGGAAGAAACTCTTTCTGCCTCACTGACTTTGAAAAGTTCATATGACGCACTGACGTTTCATTAGCATGGCCCTTTTTTGTCTCTGTGAATCAAGTGGATTTGTGATGTTACGTAAACTAGTTGTTGATTTCTCAAGTTCTTCTAAAATGAACAATGCAGTGATGAAAATCTAATGATGTTGTGGCCAGAAGCAAGACAAGAAACCAGCTGAAAAAACACAGTGATGTCTGCAACCAACACAAAATGACAGAAACCCCCCAAAAAAATTGATAGAAGAAATGATAGAATGATGGATAGAACAATAGATAGATAGATAGATAGATAGATAGATAGATAGATAGATAGATAGATAGATAGATAGATAGATAGATAGATAGATAGATAGATAGATAGATAGATAGATAGATAGAGATCACACTAAGGTCAACAGATTCAAGATTCACTGGATAAGAAAGAGTTGGAAAAAGACTCGGAGATGGATGTGCATTTATAAATATTGAAGAATTCTACAGCAGACCATCTGGATATCCATATATGTAGGAAAAACAATGCATAAGCAGATTTTCAGATGCATACAGACAGAAAAAAACGCAGAATGAATGCACATGAGAGAGAGCGCCGTGTCTGTTGAGCTGGTTAGCTCTGGACAATAAACACAGACTTTATGGCTTTTTATGATCTGTTTGCTCTTTCCTGCTTATCCAGGTCAACATCAGACAGATGACACACAACACATACATACCTTTCAGCCATTAAGACACACACACACACAGACACACACACAGAAAGAGAGAGAAAACTCATAAGTAATCAATTTGGAACACTCTACATAAGCAGCAACTTACATAAATAGAATTTGAGACTCGATCACAAATGATTACAATAGAGTTGCTATTTATATTAAAGGAATTGTTCACCCAAATATGAAAATTTGCTGAAAATGTTCTCACCTTCAGGTCATCCAACATGTAGTTGAGTAATGTTCTTTTTAGCAACATCATATGACCCCTTTAAATTAAAGACAGGACTGTTAATAGCCCAACCTACAAAGACAAACAAGAATCACAGAATTGATCACTGTCTGGCACCACACACACACACACACACACACACACACACACACTTATGTCACCTGTTTTACGTGCATAGAGTCAACATACAGCATTGTCAAGAGAGAGCCTCTGCATTAGATTTTGCCTACATTATAGAAACCAAGTGTGCACAAAAATAAAAGTAACCTGCAATCGGTCTAAATATGCATGCTAAGTAATGTGTTAGAAAATCCAAGAAAATTTTAAAGGATTTCTGTGAGGGTTAGCGGATAGAAAACATAACTAGCTCATTATGAAACCAACTGAACTCAATGGAAAGTCCCCACCATGACCGAAAACAAATGCGTTTATGCTCTGGAAAGCTGTGAAGTTGCCAACACATGATCCAGGCCGGAAGTGTTTGGATTCTGATAGGATTTATATTACAACCTTTAATAACAATACCTGAAATACTAGAAATATATAATCTGATTATGTATTCATATTCATTTTGATCAATGTCTTTAATGAATGAAACATCATGTATTTTGATAGGATTTATATGCAAAACAATTACTGTATTGTTAAAAATACATAATCTGATCATTTATATTCATTTTGGATGGATTGTGGAAAGAAGTTGTTGCAGTCTGGCTGTGAGGGCCCAAATGATTGGGTACCTTTTTCCAGATGGCAGGAGTGTGAAGAGTGTGTGTGATCGGCCACATGCTGGTGATTTGCGGATGCAGCGTGTTGTGTAAAGGTCTCTGGAATCTTGCACATTTTCGATGAGATTTTGACATGAAAAAAGCATAACACACATTAGCTTATCTCAACTCTGACAAAGTCAAAAACAAACTTAAAATGCTCTAGAGTAACGCGACGTAAACCCACAAACAAGAACGGTAATAGAACAAAGCATTGATTATGTTAAAAATAATCAATTCGAAACATAAAGTGGCCTCATCACGAAGCCCATTTCCGACACCCAATCTAAAACGTAATCGAACTGTCCGCATAAAAATACTGAAAACAATAAAAGATAACAACTACTTTAACCTTCAGTAGTAAAATGTGAAAGACATGCACATAATCGATATTTATAAGATAACCATTTAACTTAATATATAAATGAATAGTTCACCACATGAGACACTTCCGGCCTGGTTCGTGAGGCCTGAAACGTGTAGCAGGATACTACTGCATTGCTTTGCTGCTAAACATCTTTTAGAATGAATCACGTCATTCGCTGGTGATATTACACTATTATAATCCGCATTTTTCTAGATATTTCTCTTACCGTGCACTATCTGATCAACAAACTCAAGTACAAGCTACTAACAAGGTGTATCATAAATGAACAATTATTCAATTACTATTATTAAATTAAACAATTGCTAATAGCAGCCAACTTAATTCATGTGAATTGTGTACGGCTAGGCACCTTTGGTTTCCTCTTTTTGTGTAATTTAGATGGAAAATGTGTGCCTCTTTATCGTTTGAGTCACTTACCAAAAGTTGCTAAATGTTGCCAAATAAATTTTTAAAAATAGCTACATTTGCTGCTAGGTGCTTTTGGAAGAATAAGTTGCTAGGGTAGTCTGAAAAGTTGCTAAATCTAGCAACAAAATTGACTTTTTTTTTATTGCTTCAAACAGATTAACAAAAGATTTTAACATATAGACACAACACACCCTATTCACATTATTACAATCATACAACTTACAGGAACAAAAAAATATATAATTTTAATAAAAATTATAAATAAAAAAAAATTCAAAAATAAAACAGATATTTCTTCCTTTTCCCTAGAGACACGTTCAGTACACAAATGAGTTGAAAAGCATAGCGGGGACATTATTTTTCAAATAATTTCTCCTTAAAATTTAACAAAACGTCATTCTTTTTGTTATGAATTAACACTAAGGACTTTTTTAACACCTCTATTCCTTTAAGAATACTTCACATTTACACTGTTGTGGACTCTTTTCAGTGGAAAGTCGCCGAGTGACGTCATACGTCTAATTAGCATATCCACGACGTCATTGCGTCGTATTGCCGTTTACGTTTGTTTGCCTCTTTGTGCTATACTGTATTTTAATGCAGCCAAATTCTCAATAAAACTTTTTTCATGGACACACACACACAAATATATAGTCATAAACACTGACAGCCACTCCAGTCAGTTACACCTAATTACATGAACATGTTTGTGAGCATATGAAGAAAGAGAGAGAAGTGGAGGAAGGACATGTATTCTACTTACCCACATTTTATTCAAACCTGTCAATGTAGTTATGGTGTTTACTGAGAATGTTTTCATCTGAATTAGTTGATTTGGTCCAGCTAATAATTCACTGTACTAGCTTCACAGGAAGTCCAGTGCACTCTAGTGTGCATAAAGAAATACTGCACAATAATACATCTGATTTGATTAATGAGGATGAAGAATAAACAGCTGTTAGACTACAGCTCTCATATAATGTAATGCCTTTGGTTTTTACTGAGAGCTGCACATTGAGACATTTCCCTTTACTCAGAAATACAATTGAGATACAATAAATTGGCAGTGTGACTGAGTATGCGCTCTTTAAAAAAAAAAAAAGTCAAATGCAGTTAATTTTTACCTTAACTCTGTATTCTATTATTTAAATGTACAATATACCAGGGACATCAGCATTGATTAAACAGTTAAATCAGCATAGAAAGCGTAAAGGTGAAGTGTATCACTTCTGAACCATTAGTGGTATAAAATGGAAAAGTTAGCAGTTTGAGAAGCCAGTAACCAATGATGTGGGTTTGACCAACGAAAGATGGACATGTGTTTGACACAATTGACAGTGATCAATATTATTTTCAATTCTGTTTAGTGCTGCTGTTGGCACGGAAATGATACACTTGACCTTTAATTAACAGATGTTAATTGGAGGCTGGTACAATAGCAAAGGGTGAATACATGGATATGTGCTAGCATGGATAAAGTCTCGCTGAATGCACTCAAAACATACAAGAGCAGCTACAAAGAAACAGACACCTACTCAGTGTCGCATCTACAATCCCTCCCAGAACCAAAAGTGACGCTAACAGAGGAGTCTTTACTGGAATAGTGAATTGTGATTATAACAGCAAATTTACAAAGGCTCAGATAATCAGACCTGCATAAACGTGATTTACAAAGATATGCAACAACAACAAAGAACAAAAAAAAAGGGTGACTCATTTCTAGAAGAGAGAAAATTAAAGCGACAGAGACAAAAAATAGAATTTTGAGAATTTTGGAGATACGGATGAATTGCTTAGACCCTCTGTTTATTACAAACTGACATCATATGATAATATTGCAGCATGGAGCTTTCTTCTGGCTATAGTTTTAGCAAGGAACAACAGAAGAGGAGTAAACAGCTGTGTGATACATCATGTGAGTGTGTGCAGATGTTGTAGGTCCCGGTTAGAAGAGTCTGGCTTTCTTCTTCAGTTCATTGCGTTTCCACAGAGGTAACCTGTCGAATTCCTGAATTTCCATCCCAAAGATTTCAAAGAACATCTCCGGAGCCAGATGGCGCTAGAAATGCAGGTGAAAAAAGAAGAAAAAGAGCAAAAATCACTCCAAAAATATTTAAGCCTAATTTATAAAATAACCATCCATTTGGAAGACAATAGTTCAGATTGGTTTTAATATAGGCAAACTAATCAAACTAAGGTCACACAGGTAAAAAAAAAAAATAATGCAATTGTTTATATCACAATTTAGACTTCAGTCAAAAAGACACTTTTTCTCAGAATTGCAAGATATAAACGCAGAATTCTTTCTAACTTCTTTTCTCGCAATTCCGAATTCTGTCTTCTTGTTATATCTCTTTTTTTCCCTCAGAATTCTTCTACTTTTTTCATTGCTACGTTTTATTACACAATTCAGATTTCTTTTGTCCTTGTAATTGAGTTAATATTTCACAATTCAGATTTTTCCACTCAGAATTGCGAATTTATAGAGTTCACATCTTGCAATTCATTTTTTTTCTCCTCTCAAAATTGTGACAAAAAGTCAGAATTGTGATATATAAACTCAGAATTGCAAAAAAAAATTATTAAAAATAAAGTCAAATATTGATTTATTTATCCTGTGGCAGAAACAGACTTCTACATAAAATTCATAAATGAAACAGGAAAGTTTTCTGCTCTTAAAAAAAAAAATGAAAATAAAGAATCATGGCATTGTTAATAATGAACAGTTTGCATCTATTTGATTTTATTTAAATAAATAAAAAAAAAATCGTATTTTCAAAATGCAATTATTCAAATTGCGTAGAATCGTCATACATATTTTTTAATTCAGTTAAAAGTGAACATAGTTAAAATATGGCAAAATCTTCAATTTAATTATTGGGTTAACTATTAGGTTAAGTACTATTCCAGAAATCTTACTCCTTTCCCACCGATTTCATTTATGTACGAGTGACAAATATGCATCACATTACGTGTATTAGTCTGTTAACGTAAAAACAGTGTTATCCAAATTTGGTGGAAATTTAACCTGCAATTCAAATACAAAAATTCTCAAATCTTTAAGCCTAAATATTTTTCTGAGTGGGCATTTTTGGATATATCATAATGCAAAGTTTTGTTGCACAAATGCTGTGAGAAATTACCTCTAGTCTGGTTCTGTCCACATCTCTGGGCAGTTTGGAGCGACTACGGCTGGTCACCATAAGCATTTCATATGGATATACCTTCAAACGAGACATATCAATCAGTACAAAAATGCAAAATCTGCACAAACTCGTTTTAGTGTTCGAAATGTAGGGTCTAATAAATCAGGCTGCATAGTTACAACACATCCAAGTAACTCACTGAATGCTGAACAGCCTAATAATTAAAATCATATTAAATGTCAGATAATTTTATGCTAGTTTAATATGTTACACTTGCTTTTGGTTCCAGCATATTAGGCATGGACACTCCTCTGTCCATTCTGGTGGCTGTACGGTTGCCATCATGCATGGGCTAGAAACAAATCATTAATAGAAAGAGAAGCTAGTACTTATGAGTATGAACATGTATTGTAAAGAATTTTACATATTATAATGAGGATGCAATAAGGATACATGGAAACACACAGAGTGATTCAAAACGGTAATCTACATACCTGAAACTCTGTTAAAAAGAAAGAAAGAAAGAAAGAAAGAAAGAAAGAAAGAAAAAGATTTGTTTTTATATTTATACATTAAAATAGCCACTTTGAGAAATGCTAGCTATCTCAGTTTCTGCACTACATGATGCTTTATCGTCTACATGAATTTATACTACTTCCACAATATATATGACTGTGATTATTATTGCTCTCATTACATATTAATGTATGTAATTAAAGTTAAACTAAAGATGGATGAAACCAACCTCTCATCCCACCGCACACGTCTCCATAACTGTTATACTGAGTGAAATCAGTCGACTGAGGCTGGAACAAAATATACATTAAAAACAGACAAAGTGGGTTGAATAATATATCTTTTATCATTATTATATTATATTATATTAAATACTGAGTGACAATAATAAAGGGATCTTACCCGATGCAGTCCATTTCGTCCATATCCAGGCAGTGAGCCTGTTATAGAGGGTGAATTTCGATCTGCAATTTTAATAATATTGAACACATTCACTATGAAAAAAAAAAAAAAAGTTCAATAATGCACATATATATATGAATTTATATATATATATATATATATATATATATATATAGCTTATAAGTGTAAGCATTATTTTTTATATACTTTTCAAATTTATTTAAAATATGCAATATAATATATATTTTAATATGTATTTCATTTCATTAATGCTGATTCTTTAAAGGGATATTCCACCCAAAAATGAAAATTGAAAATTCTGTCATCATTCTGTCATCAAATTCAAATTACAATTGTGCATCCTATTTGCTACCTCGATTAAAATTCAGGAATTCAGCTGGAATTGTAAATTCTCAATTATATTCTGAATGACCCTGTTCCTTATTTTCTTGAAGAAAGTCAAGATCCAGAACATGAGCGTCTAATATGCAATCTATTGTACTGAGGAGCATTACTGCTTCCATGTTCGTAGCGTTGTGCTGACAGGCTCCGTGCATGACGCTCTCTGATCATCTCTTTCGCCATCTCCTCTTTAAGAATCATTTTCCCCAAACCAGATTGGATCTGGAATCAGAAACAAGAATCATTTTAAACTTTGTGTTGCATTGTTGAGCAGGTTGCATCATTCTTTTAATAACAGACATCTCCAGACCCTGTTGAGATGTTCCTCCTGAACCTGTCTGCGTTTCTGAAAAAGATTTGTTTTTATATTTATACATTAAAATAGCCACTTTGAGAAATGCTAGCTATCTCAGTTTCTGCACTACATGATGCTTTATCGTCTACATGAATTTATACTACTTCCACAATATATATGACTGTGATTATTATTGCTCTCATTACATATTAATGTATGTAATTAAAGTTAAACTAAAGATGGATGAAACCAACCTCTCATCCCACCGCACACGTCTCCATAACTGTTATACTGAGTGAAATCAGTCGACTGAGGCTGGAACAAAATATACATTAAAAACAGACAAAGTGGGTTGAATAATATATCTTTTATCATTATTATATTATATTATATTAAATACTGAGTGACAATAATAAAGGGATCTTACCCGATGCAGTCCATTTCGTCCATATCCAGGCAGTGAGCCTGTTATAGAGGGTGAATTTCGATCTGCAATTTTAATAATATTGAACACATTCACTATGAAAAAAAAAAAAAAAGTTCAATAATGCACATATATATATGAATTTATATATATATATATATATATATATATATATATAGCTTATAAGTGTAAGCATTATTTTTTATATACTTTTCAAATTTATTTAAAATATGCAATATAATATATATTTTAATATGTATTTCATTTCATTAATGCTGATTCTTTAAAGGGATATTCCACCCAAAAATGAAAATTGAAAATTCTGTCATCATTCTGTCATCAAATTCAAATTACAATTGTGCATCCTATTTGCTACCTCGATTAAAATTCAGGAATTCAGCTGGAATTGTAAATTCTCAATTATATTCTGAATGACCCTGTTCCTTATTTTCTTGAAGAAAGTCAAGATCCAGAACATGAGCGTCTAATATGCAATCTATTGTACTGAGGAGCATTACTGCTTCCATGTTCGTAGCGTTGTGCTGACAGGCTCCGTGCATGACGCTCTCTGATCATCTCTTTGCATGTCGTTCAAACCAGAAACCGTAGCAAAACGACCGTATGGGGCGTGTCCAGTGACGTGACAAAGTTCAGAATCCTTCAACTTTATGCAAATGAAGAGCGACTTTCGGGAGCGACAGCCAATAGGAAAGAAGACGGTAGAGCTCATGTGATCGTTCTCCTCTCAGCACCGTAGATAAACATACGCAATGGAAGAAAGTAGGCTCTGTTTCTCATTTTTGTTTGTATGTACGGATTTAATTTAGATTTAGATTTAGATTATATTTAGTATTTTGCCTCCAAAATGTTTGTACTTAGAGGCAAAAAACCTCATTCGCTGTCAAGGCAACCAGTATTGAGAATGCCCACTAGCAACCTCATTGCCAGCCCCTGACAAAAGTCGCTGCTAGTGTGAACGGGGCTTAAAGGGATAGTTAACCCAAAAATGAAAATTTGATGTTTATCTGCTTACCCCCGGGGCATCCAAGATGTAGGTGACTTTGGCTAATCAAAATGGTACTTACTTGTGCTTATCCAGATTGTTCAAACAGACTTAAAACTAAAAGATTACATTCTCTCGCGCGAACTCATTCGGGAGTGGTGACTTTCCACGTATTCCCAACTTCTGAGCCTGCTCACCTGAAGTTATGGTTGATTGCTCTTCGGCTGGATATCAACACACCCATTAACGTAAACTACGCCAGAGCGCGTACACACATCACGCATCGGGTGCCGTGCGTGCGCCCAAAGACAGTTGGACATAGTGGTGTATTAGAGGTAAAAAAATGATATAAATACTGTTCGGTTTCTGGCACAAACCGATTGTTTCGTGTCTTAGGACATCAATGTGTCATCACCAGCCGCAGGGTTTAATTTGGATTTGTCTGTGCATGTTTTTTTTACTCTCATATATTTTGTTACCATTGCCATGCATTATACGACTGATAGACTGCAACGGTTAAAGTTAAAAATCATCATATGTGTTCTACTGAAGAAACAAAGTCACCTACATCTTGGATGCCCTGGGGGTAAGCAGATAAACATCAAATTTTCATTTTTGGGTGAACTATCCCTTTAAGTTGTAAAAAAAACTGATTATATGAGTACACTTTAAGTACTTAAATACTAAAATACTATACTGAAATACTATTACTATTTAAGTCTTTCTACTTCAAAATTTCATGTTTAATTCAGTGTGTTACTTGCTGTTTCTTTGTAATTATTTGTGAAATTTACTAGCAATTTCTGAATGAAATTTTTCCTACACCACATTCTTTTCAGTGAAGAAGCAGCTTTAGTAATACTAGCATTTTACTGTATCTACACAAATTAATATTATTTTCTTTTTGTTTTTGTTTTTTGTGAAACACCCCTCAATTGTGTTTCACAGAAGAAAATAAATAACAATACAGAGTCTAAAAAACACGAGGGTGAGTAAATGATGGGAATTTTTCGATTTTGGGTGAACTGTCCCTTTAAGGCAGAAGCACGGAGACTTTGGGAACAGATGTATCATGGGTGACCACAGTACCTAGGGCAGCATGGGAGATCGAGGAGGACCAGCAGTCTGTCTCTATCTTTGCTGGGTAGTCTGGAACAGAGGTGTACGCCGAGGGGAATTTGGCGGATTTGATGATGTCATCAGCAGACTTACTCTGGGCTGCAAAGGCAGCTGAATCTAGATCAATAAACCAGAGGGAGGCTGTGGACCATCAGTGTGGCTAGACCAACATCTAACCAACAGATAGCAGAAAACGCCTGCTACAAGCCATATGTGGCACATGGTCAGGGGTTTAAGGCCACTGATAACCCACACTCACTTTTTACAACATATAAGAAGCAGTATTTAGTATTAGAGGCTATTGGTTGTCTGCTTGCACCCTAAACATGCATAGCTGTATCATAAATCAATCAGCCAAAATAAGCCATGCAGCAATCTGACAAACCATCACTGGATTCAGAACACATAGCATGAGTGTTAAAATGCAGACAGTGGGATCCGACCTGCTGAATCCATCTACGGACGACTATAGCAACTTTAAAGGGGTCTTATCATGAAGAATCCAAATTCTTTTTGAGGTAAACGAGTTTAAAGGGGTCATATGATGCTGCTAAAAAGAACATTAATTTGTGTATTTGGTGTAATGAAATGTGTTCATGCAGTTTAAAGTTTAAAAAACACATTATTTTCCACATACTGTACATTATTGTTTCTCCGCTATGCCCCGCCTTTCTGAAACGCGTCGATTTTTACAAAGCTCATCGGTCTGAAAAGTGAGGTGTGCTCTGATTGGCCAGCTATCCAGTGCGTTGTTATTGGCCGAATACCTCAAGCGTGTGTCGGAAATGTTACGCCCCTCACATACTGTTGATGCCGTGTCCGGCCGGAGCGACGAGACAAAAACATTAAAACCCATTACAAACGAGGCATTTGTTGCATCCAGTGGGGACATAATTACTGATTATGACTTATACTGTCTCTGACATAAAACCCTGTCTGCATTTGTGATTGGAGAAATGACAAACAACAAATGCTACTCTACACTGCCTAAAACTCACGTTTGTTCTGTAACAGTGTAGTAAATACAACTTAACCACTTTGTAGTCGTGTCCTCTTTTGGAAGACCTAATAAACTACTATAAAGTAGTTTCGCTTTCACAACAAAAAACACTGCGGCCTAGCGTGAGCGAAAGCCGCGGCTTAACGTGACCTGTGGCCGGGCTAGAGTGTGCAAAGGCGGCGGGGTCCAGAACAGCGTGCCTGGCGGATTCGACGAAGGAGCGGCAACCACATGTGACGACCCCGGGCTTCGTCCACGGTGAAAGCCGATTTGGCGATCCACAGCCCGAAGTTGATGTATTTCCTCAGCGACCAGCACGGATCAGCTCCAGGCATGACGAAGCGGATATCGTCCTCTTTTGGAAGACCAAACAAAGTAGTTTCGCTTTCACAACGAAGCACACAGCGCCTTCACGACATGGCTTTACAGATCTTCTTTATGCACCAAGAGCTTGTAACACTCCAAAGAGAAAGGAAAAATTGAAATCGCATCATATGACCCCCTTTAATGTGCTATGAAATCAAACAGTAACAGTCAGAAGAAAAATGTCCACCATGATAAAAAAAAGGCAAATGAAACTAAGCTGAAATAAAAATCCCTCTTTTTCTAAATTTAATGACATCAGACTGATTAATAAAAATGATCACTGGGATATTTACAACATTTTCAATAGTATGGATAAAGACACATTATACCAAAACACCAGATGTAACAATGAATAACTAGTAAAATATGGGAATTTCGGCCAAACATTGTGCTGTTCCTGGCTGTGTGTAGCAGTGCTATTATCATTATTTTGTTATTTTTGAATATTTTGAATTAGATTTTTGCATTTTTTAAGTAATGTAGTTGTATATTTGATTTTTATTTGTCTAAATATTTTTTATTAATATTTTATTCCAGTTTTAGTAATTTTAATACATCAAGTAAAACTAAATGAATGTTGCTTTGGTAACAGCTAAAATAAAAATCATTTTTATTTTATTTAAGTTAATGTTTATTTTATTTGAAGTTTTAGTTAACTATAATAACCCTGGTGTGTAGCACCTACAGCACTGCATTTGACAATAGAAATGAGCAGTTCAAGTTTATTTTTAACAAGATCCCATATCATTTTAGGCTGATCGTAACAAATTTAGCCACACATGCAGATTCAGTGGAGATTATTTAGGGATGGAGTAGAACAATATGAACTCAACAGCAAACCTGCAGCTCGTAAGCAAGAGCATTGTATCTCATTTCACATGCAAAGAAGGTATTTACATACAGGGAACAGCAGGAAAATGAATGAAAACAACAACAAAAAACAAGAACATAAACAGCTAATTCGATTCTAAGGCCCAGAGAGGAAGTGGAAAATTGTCAACTTATAATATCTTGGCATAGATATTATATATTAATATTATAAGTGGAACTTATGGGACAAAATAAACAATAATAAACAAAATTGTATGACAATGACCCCTTTAAATGTCAACAAATTTAAGATTTAGCCCAAACTAATTTTTTAAAATTATATTTCAATACTTGTTGACAAGCAATAATACTAGGCTGTCATTTTTAATTTTATATGCAACAATGTAATCTTTTTTTTTTAAATAGCAAATATTATATAATATTAAAGGTCTGGAAATAAGGGGCCAGTAAATACATTAGCTGATACTATGCATATCTAACTTTAGAAAATATTGCAATTTTTTTGCAAGTTTTGATATTTATGAATATGAATGAAAGTTCATCAAGCACTCATCAGGAGAAGATGCTTTAATGATGATTGATTTATCAGTTGATTAATATTTATAGTGAAATGAGCTCAGTTGAGAAGACTTCAAACAATACTTACATGTTTACATTGAGGTGGTGTTTAATGGCACACAAGCAGATATTAATGAGGTGGAGGGACTCACAGTTTCCAAATAAAAGCAAACAAACAAAACACAGAAATATGGTAAAATGACATACAAACATATTCACAGTCATGACTTGAAATATTCTGAAATTCCTTGACTTTGATTTTCTCTCTGGCTGCTAGTTTTGGCTGTTAACCAGTTTACCACTGTACACTCTAAAAAATGCTGGGTTGTTTCAACCCAATTTGGGTCAAATATGGACTAACCCACCTGTTGGGTTAAAACGTTAATTTAAAAATGTAACCAACATTTAACCCAACAGTTGCTGAATAAGACTGTGTAAACAGACTTTAACAGTAAACAGAACAGCTAGTTGCTCAACGTGTGCTTTAATGCTTGCAATGATGAAACTATATAGTCATTTTAAATACAATCCATAAAATGTAAATAAATAAAGGCAAGCATTTTAAGAACTCAATCAGATGCAATCTTCACAATGCAATACTTATAGGAATAGTTCACAGAAAATGAAAATTTGCTGAAAATTCTCTCACCCTCAGGGCATCCAAGATGTACAGTAGATTGGTTTGTTTCTTCATCAGAACAAATTTGGAGAAATGTAGCATTACATCACTTGCTCACCAATGGATCCTCTGCAATGAATGGGTGCCGTCAGAATGAGAGTCCAAACAGCTGATAAAAACATCACAATAATCCACAAGTAATCCACACCACTCCAGTCCATCTATTAACATCTTGTGAAGTGAAAACTTGCGTGTTTGTAAGAAACAAATCCAACGTTAAGATGTTTTTAACTTTGAAACTGTTGCTTCTGGCTAAAATATGAGTCCTCTATCCATAATATTGCTTTCTCCAGTGAAAAAGTTGCCTTGTCTGAATCAGGAGAGAAATATGCACAGAATAAGCACAGTTTACAAGCAAAAGCAGTCCAAAACAGTTCTAAACAAATATGTTGGTTTTGATGTGAGAGGACAACAGGGAATGGACTTTCACTGGAGGAAGTGCTATTATGGATTATGCACACGTATTTTGGCCAGAAGCGACCGTTTAAATTTAAAACATCTTAATGATGGATTTGTTTCTTACAAACATGCTTGCTCAACATGTGTGCTTTAATGCTTGCAATGATGAAACTATATAGTCATTTTAAATACAATCCATAAAATGTAAATAAATAAAGGCAAGCATTTTAAGAACTCAATCAGATGCAATCTTCACAATGCAATACTTATAGGAATAGTTCACAGAAAATGAAAATTTGCTGAAAATTCTCTCACCCTCAGGGCATCCAAGATGTACAGTAGATTGGTTTGTTTCTTCATCAGAACAAATTTGGAGAAATGTAGCATTACATCACTTGCTCACCAATGGATCCTCTGCAATGAATGGGTGCCGTCAGAATGAGAGTCCAAACAGCTGATAAAAACATCACAATAATCCACAAGTAATCCACACCACTCCAGTCCATCTATTAACATCTTGTGAAGTGAAAACTTGCGTGTTTGTAAGAAACAAATCCAACGTTAAGATGTTTTTAACTTTGAAACTGTTGCTTCTGGCTAAAATATGAGTCCTCTATCCATAATATTGCTTTCTCCAGTGAAAAAGTTGCCTTGTCTGAATCAGGAGAGAAATATGCACAGAATAAGCACAGTTTACAAGCAAATACAGTCCAAAACAGTTCTAAACAAATATGTTGGTTTTGATGTGAGAGGACAACAGGGAATGGACTTTCACTGGAGGAAGTGCTATTATGGATTATGCACACGTATTTTGGCCAGAAGCGACCGTTTAAATTTAAAACATCTTAATGATGGATTTGTTTCTTACAAACATGCAGCTTTGTGAAATTTCGTGTGGATTACTTGTGGATTATTGTGATGTTTTTATCAGCTGTCTGGACTCTCATTCTGACGGCACCCATTCACTGCAGAGGATGAAGAAACAAACTTATCTACATCTTGGATGGCCTGAGGGTGAGTAAATCTTCCGCAAGTTTTCATTTCTAGGTGAAGTATTCCTTTAAAAACAGTGATTCCCAACCAGAGGTGCCTGGTGCAAATAAGTCAAACAGAAGCTCTGGTCCAAGCTGTAGTGTCCTTTCTATCTAGACAGCATCATAGGTCACATGCTCCTGATGTAAAGACTGGTTAAAAAGGTGAAGTAGGTAGCAAAAATGTAAAAATTGTTTACATTTTACATTTTTTTTGGTGTAAAAATTTTGATTTTGCATTATAAAAAATGTAAGCCTTTATCCTTTAAGTTGCAGCTTCTCATCAAAATTTGTACCAATGTATTTGCTGTTATTTATGATATTTCATACCTCTATGGCATTTCAGTTTCACCATACACAGAGTGCAAATTACTTTAATTTTGACAAACGTTCTAGTTGTAAAAATTATATATTCAAATTTTTAAAATTCAGTTACATAATAAGGTAGACTGGTCTAATTTGAATCTAAAAATGAAGACTTGACTAACTCCTAGTTGGTCTTAACAGTTGGTGCCTGGACCCAGGAGTCTCACTGAAGACAGAGGAAACAACCTGGTTACAAATTGAATCATAATAATGAGCATTTAAATAACATTAATGATAATGCTTGCTAAACGGTATCCAGTATAATATGAATTATGGTGTTAGTGACTTAATACGGAGCTGTGTGGGTACATAAGACAAAAATGGTCGGGAAACACTGCTTTGGTGTATATTATAAATCATCAGGCATACAGTATGTCAAAATTCTAATCATTTATTTATTGTGAAAGTACTGAATTCAAAGATTCTGAATGACTGTACCATGCTGTTTGTAGATAGGTGGCTTTCTGTAGATGTTTGCTCCTTGATCTGAAAGACAGGAAAAGTCAAATTAGTTCATTTTAGTTCTTAATATAAGAGAATTGGGTTTTTAAACAGAAACAAAACAATAACACATACAAAATGCATCGATGAACAATCAAGTCTGAGAAACTGGCAACTGCACCACTTACAGTTTTGATATACTATTACCAAAGAAAGATCTTTACATTTTCTGAATGAAAATGTTTGTGGTGTTTGCTTGTGCAGACTTTACTTTTCTGCGTGAACTGTTGCTTTAAGACAGAGAGATAAACCAGACACAGAAAGTGCTATGAATAGTGAACATTTGCTTAGACACAGGGGCATGCTGGGATTGACACACAGTGGGCCACTGGAAGTCTCCAACAGTACCTGGCATGTGAAAATGTTTAGGAGTCAGAGGGAGAGGAGGGGTGCTGGCCCCTGGGGAACTCCGACCACTGGACGGCTCAGTGCCTCCAATCACAAACACGGTCAAAGGTCAATAGGGAGAATAATTCAAATTAGGGCTGGGCAAAATATATATATATATATATATATATATATAGATAGATAGATATTTGCTCTGCAAACAGCAAATAAATAAATAAATAAATAAAATAATCAATCAAGTTAAAAACTAAATTAAGCCATGTTTACACAATGTTTTCAATAAATAAATAAATAAAAAATACACAAACTATCTATGATAGGTTAATCTTAAATTTTTTTTTTTTACAGAATTACAGAAAGTAAGGTCTTATTTAATTTATTTAGTGTTTGTTTGAGCTTTATATTCAATTCACAATTAAGTGCATTGACCCATGGTATGGTAGTATGGTAGCATGTGTTGTATAGCTAATATATGATAATTTATTAAAATTAAAAACCCCACTGCATTACAATAATGAAATATTAAAACATTATTTTATTACAGTAATGATAATCTAATAATAGAATTAGAATCACCGCTGAAAATAATGGGACTTACAAAAAGTAAAACATCTGTACACACAAAACATCTGGTGAAAAACTTTTCCATACATACATACACACACACATATGTGTGTGTGTATATATATATATATATATATATATATATAAAACACACACACACACACATATGTGTGTGTGTATATATATATATATATATATATATGGCTAAACAGCCATTGCAGCCAATTCAATTCAAAATATGTAATACAAAAAGTAAAATGCAGTAGTTAAAAATAAATAAGGCCTGTTTACACAATGTTTTAAATAAATAAATAAAATAAAGGTTTTTGATCATTTGATTTGATTCACAGTTGTTCACAAAAGTTCACAATTGCTCATCCCGAAAATGTCATTCAAAAATGATATACTAGTAAGAGCACCCAGCCCTAGTTTTTAGAGCTTTCTCTATTCTAAAACTAAATTTGGACACTGGGGGAGAACAGTGCTATATTAGAAAACTGTAAATAATCCATAAAAGGAAAAGAGTAATTGATTTGGTGAAATTTTAATATAAGCCTTTCGAGCACAGCAGACAGGGCTCATAGCTCACCGGGTCTGTGGAAGTGCTGTGGTGAGCGTGACAGGGTGGGGGTGTAATTGTGGCGGCTGTAAATGGGCGACCCGATGGAGCCTTGACTTGTTGACCGGTGGAGGATTCGTTCTCTCATGTCGTAGTAACCCTGAAAAACACAGGAAAGATACACCGTAAAAAATAAAAAAAAACACCATTGTTTAATTTGAAAATCTAGATGTGATCCACTTACAATACAAAATCTATAAATAAATTCTTAAATATTTAGAATGAAAATTAACTGCATTTCTCCAATAAAACACAAATAAATATTCAGTAATATTATGTAATCATTTGATTTTTGCCTGCATGCAAAATAAAACTCTAAATATGACTCACCTCAGTAGTCGGTGTGGGGGACCTGGTCTGAAAAATAAATACATATACAAAGAAAACTTTGTGAACACTGTCACTGGGACACCACTGAAATGGGGAAAAACAGACTATTTATTAATTCATTCATTTATGGTGGTGAATCTCAGAAAACCTGTCATGCCTGGGTCAAATTTAAACCCAAAATCAAATTTGAGAAATGATATTTTTCAGAAATAAAAAATCATATCATATTTTCAATTTTTGCATATTTATTTGTTTGTATGTATGTATGTATGTATGTATGTATGTATGTATTTACGCATTGCTTTATGCATTTTGTCTTTATATTCATGGAAACGACATACATTATTATCAATACCGAAAGCAGTGCTGCTTAATATTTTTGTGGAAACTGTGATACTTTTTTCAGTATTCTTTGATGAATAGAAAGTTCAAAAGAACAGCATTTATTTGCATTTATAAAAAAAGTACACTGCCTCAAAATAAAGACAGCTTTTTTTAAATAAAGTATTTATCATGGTACTATCATATGTGTTGTATTGCCTTGAATTTATGGTAATTTATTTTTAAAAAACTGTATTACAATAATGAAGCATAAAATAATTATTGTATTACAATAGCGATAATCTAATGAGAGTCATCACTGAAAATTAAAGGACTTAAAAAAAAGTAAACAAAAACATCTGGATGCACTGCAGATAAATTGTGTGGATAAGTGGCCAAAAAGGGTCACTCTTGAGCATCTATCTGAATCATAAAATCACAAATGAGACACAATAAAATCTTCTGGACTACCTCAAGACTGCTAGTCCACATCCAGCGTGGGATTCAGGACAGTACCAATAACATGCGAATGACTGAGTGGAACAGCCTATCAGCGGACAGGTGAAAGGTCATGGCACTCTTGAGCATCTATCTGAATCATAAAATCACAAATGAGACACAATAAAATCTTCTGGACTACCTCAAGACTGCTAGTCCAGCATCCAGCGTGGGATTCAGGACAGTACCAATAACATGCGAATGACTGAGTGGAACAGCCTATCAGCGGACAGGTGAAAGGTCATGTGACTAACTTACTCTGTCTTCTGGCATGGGCGAACACTCTCTCCTGGAGCTCTGCAGCTGTCAACAGAAAGGTGTTGTGTTGGGATCAAAGTAAAGTCCAGGTCAGTGTGAAACAACATACTACTGTCCGTGAATGAATATCAATTTTATACAAGCAGAAAAAATTAATTAGCCTGTATTCAATACTATACTGAACTCAAGAGCTCCGTTTCAAACTCAGTTTGCATCCCTGTTCACTACTTAAATATGTGCCTTCTAAGGCAGCATCCTATAATATCCTATAAAAATTTCATCTGATGAATAAAATGTAAGTGCATATATGCTGCTGTAGAATTAGGCTAGAATGTGGTATAATTTGCTACCTACTTCACCTTTTTAACCAGTCTTTACATCAGGAGCATGTGACCTATGATGCTGTCTAGATAGAAAGGACACTACAGCTTGGACCAGAGCTTCTGTTTGACTTATTTTTACCTCTCCCACACTCTCTCTCTCCTCTGATTCATCCAGTGAGGTGGTGTAAAGTGGTTCATAGTTGATTAGATCTGGACGCTCAATGTCATAAATGGCTTTGACCTTGGGAATGGCTGCTAAATCCTTGTAATCAAGGATCTCATTGTCTACTTTTGCCTAGGGGACACAAACACACACAGGAAGACACACAGATGACTGAATTTCTACATGACAGCAGTGAAAATATAAAGTTCTATAAAAAGCCTCTCCTAGGCCAATATAAGGGTCTGAGCATGATCATTTTAATATAAAAATGCAAAAAGCCACTTACGTTACAGCGTTTTTACCACAGTTGTTGCTTTAATAAGCTAACATTTATATTTCAACACTGCTGTCAGAATTCACAGTGACAGGAAAGAGAGCCATCTATTAGGATTTCTATCTGTTTAAACAGCCAGAAAACTACAAGATGACTTGGCTAAGACAATTTGTAACATTGCAGTAAAATGTATAATAGTCATAAATATTTGAGTAATCAGGTTTAAAAGCATTTACACTACTGTTCAAGGTTTGGGGTTGTTGTTTTTTGTTGAAGGAAGTATCTTATGCTTACCAAGAGTGCTTTTATTTGATCAAAAATACAGTAAAAACAGTAATATTGTGAAATATTATTACAATTTAAAATAACTGTTTTCTATGTGAATATATTTTAAAATGTAATTTATTCCTGTGATGCAAAGCTGAATTTTCAGCATCATTACTCCAGTCTTTAGTGTCACGTGATCCTTCAGAAATCATTCTAATATGCTGATTTGCTGCTCAAGAAACATGTATTATCTTTATCAATGTTGAAAACAGTTGTGCTGCTTAATATTTTTGTGGAAATATATTTACACTATGATGAACTGATGCACTTACATATATGGTGTGACCCGGTGAGCTAGGTATGCTTGAACCAGGTCTGGAACATATACTCTCGGACGACGAGCGTGTCGCCTGTGAAACAAGCACAGATTTAGAACCCACAACCTATATTGACTATAAGCAATAAATCAAAACATCAGCATTTGCATTTTCATCTAAACAACTACATTCCCCACTGACGTGATTATTCAATGTTGCATTAGCCTTTACCAGAAGAGTTGTTTTGGAGTGTGTTACTTATATTTGCTTTACTGTGCATCAAATGAGCCTAATATAGTTTAACTTTTATGTCAGCACATTTTGTGCCTGCTTGCACAGGGCTGTAAAGAGATACATTATGATTTATTAAAATATTCATTGCCTACTGGCCAATCATGCTGCAGAAAGTCAATCAGCTGATCAAGACTCATCATAAGAATGCACAACAAATCGACAAAAATATAAAATATAAATCCTTCTAAGAAATAAATATAACATATTCAAATATAAATGTAAGAAAACTTTGACCTGTAAACAATTATATATATATTGTGAAGGATAGGACTAAATGATGACAGCATCCTTGAAACAAAACTAAAAGTAAAAAAAAAAAAAATCATTCATTTGCCTTCCACACAATGAATGAGACTCGTCAATGGCAGTTTCATGTTTCCGATGGCAGGAAATGCTTGAGGATCGAAATGTAAGTGCATCTGATATTACTCAGCATATTGAAATGCTGAAATGCACCATGCGTGATTACAGCAGCCTAGCTTGACTTAATTTCGCACCATAACAGAGTAACTGGGCTAAACGATCTGTTCTGTAGCACTAGCATCAGTGAAATGGAATAAACCAGATGTTAATGATGGTTTATGGCTAAAACTGAGCAGGCGGTCTGAGAGCTGCAGTGTAACTGCAAGTGAGGAGCACTGCAACCTGCCGCCTCCAGGGAGCAGCACATGGTCAGGCGATGCCATGGCGCAGCTAACAGCGAGTACAGTACCTGCCTTTCTGTTTTGCTGAGGAGAGCTAGAGACGCAGGCAATAGCTGTGGAGGAAGACACAGGGGTTTGTTCGGACTAGGGATGTAACGGTATGAAAATTTCTTATCACGATTATAGTGACCAAAATTATCACGGTTATCGGTATTATCACGGTATTGTTAACATGTGCTAGAGATGTTAAGGACGAAGCAGTATTGCGATTAAGAACCCTTCCTTTAGGTATTCCATGGAGCGAAGATGAAAACAAAATGCCATCGAATCTTTTCTGAAGACAGTTAGAACCTTCAGAGGTACATTCATATAATTAATTCATTCATATATTCATTTGTATAATTCCCTTAGCACTCTTT